ATTATCTAAGATGACTTTAAGAGGCCATGGCCGAGATTTGATCCTGGTACTAACAGTCTTCTCTATTCTATATGCCTTGAGAATGCGGAATGACTCGCCATCCATTAGCAACATTTTGGTATACAATTGTAGGAGATTCGCCTAATGATTTACTCGCTCATTTGGAATTGTTAACGCTGACTCTGGGAGCACTTTTACAACCATATTCTGCTTACAGCACAGTCGGGTGCCTCTTGTCAGCTGACATGTTCCGACTGAGCGAGCACTTATATCCGGTATACTTAGTTCGATAGGTCCAGATATACTAGCTCTGAGGGTGGTTGAATCCAAATCCGTGGTCTGGTCTTCTAAGACCTTTTCCTCCACGGTTTTTGAACTCAACCACCTCTTCAACGTCGCTATTAGGAGCAACTTACAGAGTTGTAAAGCCAGATCATTACTGATGCCGCCTGAGCTGAGTGACGATGGTATAGAACAGGAGCATCATTGAACTCTCTTCCGAATGAACGAATCGTCCGCTGGTTTATTGGTTCGGCAACGGCGACTTTAAGGTATGCCTGCTGAGGATATATGTGCGAACGAACTTTTCTTTACTGCAGGTTTTGGACGGGCAGCTGCTCTTTAACAAGAAATTGACAGCGTAGAGTGTGTATTTATACGATAAGGACCTACTTGCAAATATGAGTTCCGAGTTCCGTTTATCTCCGAATGCTTCCTGTTGAAAAATTTTATTCGGTTTTTTCTCTATCTACGGAAAATTTGCAGCTAAACGCCCCTAGATATTTCAGCAAGAGCACAAAGTGCACATTATCTAACTTGAGACAAAACTAAACTGACTTGAGAATAACATGACCTGAGTAGTTGGTAAAGCGCCGTAGTGTCCTTTTCTCCCACAGCAGCCTGGTGAACTAAGCATGGAGGGCGACAAATCTGCCGATGCTGCGAAGAATGATGTTTCGAAGATTCCAGTCAACGAGATGACATCGAAGGACTACTATTTTGACTCTTACGCACATTTTGGGATACACGAGGTTCCATTCTTTCATAGCCGATAATCGTTTTTTCAGGAAATGTTAAAAGACGAAACTAGAA